CAAACAGGAGAATGTAATTTAAAAGAGAAACAACTACCGTTTTTAGATAACGGGACAGGTATTGCTATGCTTCAAGGTTTTATATTGTCTAAGATACAGGGAAAACAAATTCATTTAGGCGCATTTTCACCACTGCTGTCGTCAGATACATTTGCATAGACTATATCTCCCACAGGGACTTACAACTTACAACTCTGGAGACGTTTAAAAACAGTCTAGGATTCTCATCTATTTAATGGCGGCATCTAGTTTTGGGGCTTTGCCGTGGGGGTAAATGCGAGTGCCGATGCACTAGAAAACTCAACTACCAAACAACCGCATGGATTGAGTTACAAAACCTGTTATATGCCTCAGTTGAGATGCGGTCCATAGAGGCCTGCAGGAGGGCTTATTTCGCCCCATCCGGGAGATATGGGCAATTTCCACCTGCTATAGTGTAGAGTACTAGCAAGTGAAATGATTACGGTGTTGATGAAAATAATAGCAGGATGCACAAAAGAATAGACGATATAAAAGGATACTATATCGAAAGGAGTTCCAAGCTGGCCTTGTTTCGACCACTTCAGTCATCTAGGTGATGCCGTTAAAACATTTTGATGAAATGAGAATTCGCATACATATCACTTGCCTCGTCCAGTTCATCACCCCCCCTCCAGTCCAACAGGCAAACGTGACAGAAGACGAGATTCCTAAGTGGCCAGCTTTTTTAGGAATCTTTTGTCACAATAGTATACTCTCTATCTGTGGTTGTTTAGAGTTTTGTCGAAGTTTCAGTGATCAACTTAGAGTAAAATATTTGACAAAGACTTGCCAATTCCGAACTTAATTATTACGTTACACTAGTTGGATATTTTAGTCTACGTGGGTCTGAAATTCACAATAAGAGGCAGCTTGCGCTTTCAGGCGGTCAGTGATTGCTCAGGATGATGGATGCATACTAGGAGCTTGATAGAAAATCCTTGGGTTTTACAATTTCTCCTGTGCTCGACAAGAAGTTTGGCATTCACTCAAAAAAACTCTCGGTCAAAACAGAGAAAAATTCATTTAAATCTGATGAGCCACCGACCCAATAAGTGTAACTAACCACAGGAAATAGTAACAGCCGTAATCCTGCGTTCGGCTAAGCCATTACTTACCAAATTTACTTCTAAATAGACGATTATGCTCTATACCCATAAAGAAGGTGTTATCCAAACATCCGTTGTTAAAACCTTCTAAATCTTAGATAGAAAGCTTTAAGGGCAACATCAAAATTCAGTATCATTTAATTTTCTTTGACAAAACGAGTGTTTTTGTTTCGGACCTAAAAGTTGGCGGTATTTTCAAAAGATATCCTAACGTGAATTGTCCCATAAACTTAGATTTTAATAGAACAACTGATTGCCTGTGAGTTGCTAAAGGTGTTTAGCAAGTGCGAAAAAATGAAATTAGTCACGCTATGAAATTAAGCAAAGTTTGAAGAGGGCGCCGTAAGAGCAACCAGTGGAATATTTTGTTCAGTCCCAGTAAACTGGGTGAACAAGATAAACATTTCTTTAAAGAAAATAAGTACCTTCTGGGTCATCCATGCGGAAGGGTTGTCGCAATATGTAATGAGGGCACCGCGTATTTTACCATCATTTTGTAAGTCTTACCTTTGAAAATCGCAAACTTTAAGCAGGTTACGTTCCACGGCAGTTGTTTACACTGTCGCAATCCATGTGTTAAGCAGCTCAGCCCCGAAAAACTTTAAAGATGACATTCAAGAAAAAAAATCTGTGAGTATTGATAACTTTCGCCCTTGTCTGAACCTCCGACTCGGATACTGTGCAGATCTACAGGGAAGCAGCATGCGTCCAAATCTTTCATATTTTTAGGGCTGCCGGGGAGTTTCTCCGAGACTGCTGAACAAAGCGTTCCCTTTGTCGTGTTTTTGTTAAGCGTGGACAACACGCATGCACGTTTTGTTGAGAGGCCAAGCCTGTGGCAGTTCAAGCCCCAGCCGATCGATAAAGTAACCAATTAATCCGGCACGACCGCGGATTCAAATTCCACGGATCGCAAACTGCAGCGCTAGTACCGCAAAAAACTTTGTCATCCGGATTTCACTCTGGTTCCTCTAAAAGAGGACGATTAAAAGAAATTTCTTTGCCAGTTCAACAGAAGTAAACTTCTTCGGTTCGGATGCTGGTTTAAAGTCACCTCTGGAGGACGAATTTCAAGCAACACAGCGTACCTGTGAAATATCAAGCACCTGAGGCTAGCGCGCGACAGTTAAAATGAATTTGGGCTCCATAAGTGATAAGCTACCAACGTATCCCTCGAATATTCAGGGCGAACTCCGCCTTATTCTGCAAACAAAGGATATATTTATGGTATGCTACAAACAATTAGAGGAATACCGTCGGTTGGTCAATGAGCAGAACCGACTAATCACAAAGGAATTTGTGCAGGAGCAGTTACAGGCCGGAGAAGATGAAATTGCAGAGCTCAAAATAGAGCTTGGTGAGGCTGAAAGCAAACTGGCAGCCCGCTTACGGCACAATGAACTCTTAGCTGACCAATTGGCAAGTCAAGGTCTGGGTGCCCTCGAAACAGGCGGCACGGCGCGGCACATGGCCTTAATCAGGTCTCCAAACATAAAGAAACAGATGATGGCACAGCGCAAGAATGCCCTTGATCCGTGCGCAAACGGCGGAAAATCTCAGACACACCTCATAGATAATATTGCCTTGGCAATAGACGAGATTCATCAGGAAGTGCGAACGAAAGTAAAGCCTCTTTTGGACTATTACCGGGATCTTTTTTACCTTCAACTGCATTTTAGCCTGGTTCTTGGGCAGGTATGCAACTACTGCATGCCGCTGGTCACAGAAAACATTGGGCTGCTTGAGCGTGTTTTCTTCTGGGCTGAGCGACCCGAATTCGAACTAATTCGGAAGGCCTCTGACATATCCGATCGACTTAAAGAAATATACACGCGATCGCAACAAATCTACGGAGTCTTATCGGAATCAGTAAGGTTCCTGCAGTCAAAAGTCGAGCTACAAAAGTCATTGGAGACTCGCTTTCACGAGCGCATGGATGAACAACAGAAACTCAAAGACAAGATCCTGCGTGAGATTCACGCCTCCAGGCAGAATATGGATATGCTTGAAGAGGAGAACGACAGGCTTGTTGGTAGTCTTGTGAAGATTGACCCGACGTTTGTCGACAGCCAAAATTTCATTGACCTAGCGGAGGGCGGGAACCTCCCCAGCAAGCATGGAAATGCGCATAACAACCGCAAACAAACGAGCGAGTTTATCTCCTCAACACCAATTGAGGAACCCAGATCAGCAGAAGTTGATGAGAATGAGCTCATTGAAGCATCTAACGTCAATGCAAGACTTGACTATAACAACAATAAGGCCCTCAGCGTCACGGGCGATTCCGAGGATGGATCTACAATGGCGGTATGGAATAAACAACTGCACAATGTGAAGTGTTCCCCTAAAGAGAAAAGCACGAGACCTAGGCGGAAATCTTCAACACTTGGCAACGAAGCGTCAAAGACCCAAGTGTCAAATGAGAGGCCATCGCGTGGTAGGGGACGCAAGCGTGAGGAACGTCAAAAAAAGCCTAAGCGAGCAGTAACCGCTACTCTAAAAGAAAGAGCAGCAAGCAGTGGAACCGAGACACGCGAGAATCTACACAGTCGGGCGCGGTCATCTTCACAAGTCAGGTCTCCATCTGTCCCACATGCTAGCCGCAAAAATTCCACCGGTAGAACAAAGAGCAGAAGTGATATGGTTAACTACGATACTGTGTCCGAAGGCCAAGCTTCGACGGGACGCAGGATAAAAACAGAGGTTGTCAAGGCTAGTCCGAAGTCGAGCGCTTCAGACCAATCTCTTCAGCCACATGGTGGATCCCTAAAGTCACGCTTGTTAGACAGAACCAGAGGGCTCTTTGATTTGTCGAAGGTTCGTGGCGGTAAGACAAATTCTTCAGTGCCTACTGAGAATGAAGACTCATCTCTTGCCATGGCATATCACCCAGTTGAGGTTCTAGAAGGAAGCGGAGCCCTGACGAGCGTATCCTCCATTGATACATCTTATTTCCATGAATCTACCCCATCTCGGAAAGAGCAAAACTCACCACAGTTGTATGGTTCTGGCAAGTCTGGTTCAAAGGACAGTAAGAACCGGCCAAAAACCCGAGAAAACAAAAGTGGAAAGCAATGGCGGGAACCCCAGATGAGGCTCTCACCGATGGATGATGAGATGCTCGTCTTGGGTGAACAACAAAATGGAAATAACTCCAGGTCCAGTAGGCGACGGCCAAAATCCCGACAAGGCGGTCATGGTGCAATGCGTAATGATCTTGCCAATTTCCTCACAAGCAGCGCTTCGGAGAACCTCCTGAGTTCCGATAGTTCACTGCTCCCAGACCTGAACTGAAAGGATCTGCGCTGAAATACTGTTTTAACATCATCTCCAAGAGGATTCGAACACCGCGGTAAATATGTGAACTGCATCTACGGACAATTCGCGGGAAGTATAATGTGTATGCATTTGAGGATAATGTTGAAGGCTTACTGCATCCGGTTCTCTCGCCTACATTTTTGAAGAAACTTTTGGCAGAACCGATCATTTTAAGCAATACATTAAACACCGGCTTCATTGGTGACTATGTTACGAAATAAAGCTGGCTATTTGCTTTCTGTCTACTTTCTGATTTTCGTAATCAGTCAAAGATGGGTCCACTGGCAGTCGTCTAGCACATGTGAGTCAATGGTAACTACTGCTTAACTGCAATAGAAGAAGACACATATGTTATATGTGGAATGTTTCTTCTTTCCGGACAATAAGCCATGATGGTGTTCGAAGGAAAGAACAAATGTTTGAAAGTTTTTCCTCCCAATAGCTAACCAGCACTGAGGATAAAACAAAAGTCGTTTGAAAAAGTCATGAAAATATATGAAAAGGTCATAGACTTTGTAACTACAAGCTTGTTTAAGTGTTGCTTTAGAATCCTAAAATAATGACGATTGAAGGACAATTGACGCTACAGCAGTAGTAGCAGGGACGGCAACACTAGTCTGGCCTGATGTGCAAGGGGGATTTATAGATCCACCTCAGAAACTAGGAACTGGGAATACTAAACAGCCATGACCTCCACTTAATAGTAACTGTAGAAGTTATCCTAAATCAGTGACCAGAGGGGAAAGTGGTGTAGGAAGACAATAAATGAATAAAGACTCAAACAGATTGAGTTGGATAGAAGTGGAATTCTGGATTAGTATGGCAATTCTCCTTTCTACAGCTTTGTCAAGTTTTTGGCAAGTCGTGAAGAAGTACTAGTGACGGAGACTAAGGCCACTAGAATGACAGTTTCGAAGTTAGAGGCCGTCGTCGGCCGATGAAACTACGACGCCAGTTGTTGGAAAACGCAGGCTCCAGTGGGAGGCAGAGGATCATTGCGCCCCTTAGGTCAAACATCGCAGACGGTTCACAAACCGAAAAATGCCATCAAAATGTCCCTGATTTTTGTTAGCGTTTTTCCAGAGCGACTGTCTTCCTTGTCACTTCGCGACAACCTGAATAAGAACTAGATCAGAAGCTCCAATAAAAGTTCACTTCTGCCTTATAATCAGGACAAATCACCGAGGGTTCCAACCATATGAATATGGAATGTCCTTTCCATAAGACAGTTCAACCTTGAAGTGGTTTGCTCATTACAAGCTTTTGGCAAAATCTTTTTGGTGCCAGACACGAGATACAAGGTACTTGGTCATTAAAACACGTCGGTTAGTTATGTAGTCTAGCTTTTTCAGCTTTGAGGAACATCAGCCGAGGGCCGAAGTTCTATAAAGGCAAACGTAGTGTGGGGTGGTGGAACTCTACAATGACTTGCGTTCTCGTCAGAGGTTTGCAGTTAGTTTTAATTCTAGTCTATTTTAATTTCAAGTACTGCCGCCTTTGACGGAACATGAAAAACCACTCAAGGCATGTTTCCGTCAAACAATGAATTCCGAGCTTTAACCTTTAAATGATGGGTCCTTCAACTAATTTGAGCCCATTCCTCAAACATAATTACAGAATACCTCAGAGAGGGAAGTCAGTCGGTTAGCAATGGTATGCTGTCCAAGAATTTTATCGGCAGGATCATTGGAATATATATTTTTTGCATTCATGGTTTGAGTGAATCTCCACAAAAGGTTTGTAAAAGAGTGACTTTCGAATTCTCTGAAACCTAGTTTATAAAAGCCTTCATTATTTGTAAACGCCCGTTAAAGGATTGTAATGCATTTTTTCCAATAATTACTGTTGAAAAGTTGGTCTATTTAGGTAAACGCAGTTGAAATTGGTATTTGCCTACTAGTCAGGGCATATCCCCAAACCAATAGGACGAAAACGATGCCCTCTCGTTTGCGTATGCCTTAGGGGAGATCTGCCCGTTTAATTCAATTGTCAGCAGGTGAGGATTTCTAGCATTCATGTAATTATTCCAGTTTAAGGAACCAAAAGACTTGTGTGTGGCTCATTCTAAAGACTATTGTCATTGTCTGTGATGACGGTTGCCTATGACGTGATAGACATAAAGCAATCAGACGAGTATGCCAGAAAGACCAAAACAACAGACACAGGAAGACTCCGGGTGCTTAACGGAATTTGTGAAAAGTTGATCTACTGAAGGGACACATGCACCGGCTTCAGGCTCCCTGCTACTAACAGAACTTTGTCTGTGACCATAGGAGTTCTGAGTAAGGTCCGTACTGACTAAACATGCGTCTCGCTTATCACGTACGCCTGCTATTCCTGCTAACTGTCATAATCTTCGGAGGCATAAGCGTCAGTTACTGCACGGAAATGCATCTTATGTGTTAGGACCCGGGTAAAAAACGAATCCCAGCGAAGATGTACGCAAAAGGGGAACAACGGCATAAAGACAAAAGGTTGAGTGAAAACGATTTGGCCTTCTCTCATGCCCACGTCTGTTTGCCAAAAATAGTATATGCAGCTTATTTTTTAGGTTCCACCTGCGCCAACCTCCTTTTGTTTTAACAATGGCGATTCATAAAAACTTATGAACCAGTACCACACTCCAGTCTGAAATAGCCCTCCATAATCACAACGTACTGCTTATTCGGGTTCACATTTACCTGAACAGTCCATTGCTTAGCTTAATGCAGTATGGTAAAACTTAAAGGGCACACGAATGTCTATGTAAACCAGTATTCAGTCCGACGCGAGGCATAATTCTAGAAGAGTAAGCATCTGGATGGAAGGCCGCATCGAGATAATGGTAACAAGAGCTGGACATGACGGTTGACCTGACAGAGATTCGTTCTCATGCTAGAAAGTATCAGAAAAAAAGATTCTGGAATACTTAGTTAAGAAGCGCTGAAGGGTTCACTTTGAAGCATTAAAACGAAAAATTATAAGCATTTAGATTGGATGAAAAACAATTTGGCAACCACTTAAGTTTACGCGCGACAACGAATCTGTGAAACAATTCGGTACAACCTTTTGTGGACTTAGTAACACCGGGAATTTGAGTGGATAGTAGGCAAGGGAAGTAATTATGTCGTGGACGAGTCACAGGACATGTGGCTGTGACAAAACAGGCTTTAAATCCCCATTTGAGGCAACAGGATATCGGCATAAACTATCAATGAGGTCTCTATTTTCATTTTGAGGAAATGGGGAAGTTATAGGCCCAGGTGATGAGGTAAGAGTAGTCAGGAGAACCTGTGCTTGCTGACGCAGTCTACGAAGAAAGCAGGTGGGAAGGGAAGAAAGCAGGTCCTAAGAGTCAATCACAGTGCACTGTGTCTGACGTAAGGCCTGCAAAGCTAATTACGTCAGGGAGACTTGCGGGTGAGTGTTAGTCTACATGACAGAACATGCAAGTCTACTTGAAAGGGTGTGCCATTGGATATGGTGGACAAACACCGCAAATCCTCGGACGTACTTTCACCTTCGAGAACAGTAAGATTCTGGGCCGCGGGAATATTGCAGGATCGAAGATACGCTTGAGGCCTGCTCACCTGCGCAATATTAGTCATCTGTTCACTGGCACGTCAGCCAATGGATAAATGGAAGGAAAAGCAAGTACGACACAAAGACAAGGGTTAACGCTGAAACCTGTGCAAAACGAGCATTAATCGCATTGTGGAGGGTGACAGCCCCAGACATCTTCCCCTTCCTTTGGTCATCCAATGCCGACCCCTGATGGGATTCGAACTCATGACAACAAGGGGAGGCTTTAGTACAGCCAACGCTCTAGCCACCTGAGCTACGAGATCCGCCGGCAGCTGTGAGTTTAACTACATTTGGGCCAAGTTACCCGCCCAACCTTCTGCATCTTCTGGAGTAAACCAGATCTGATGCATTAGGTTCACTGCCCAAACAAGATTTCCTAAGTAATCCATCTAAAATCCACCAGATGACTACTAGACTCACGTAATAAGTAAGTGTTTGTACAGATTTTGAATAACTTTTTTCGACCCAACTGTAAAGATCACGGCGGTATTAGCAGGATTCGAACCCATGACAGAAAGGCGAGGGCTTGAGTACAGCCAAAGGCCGATGCACCTGAGTTACAAGGCCCCATCGGGAGCCGTGAGTTTAATCACATTTGAGTCAAGTTTAAAATCTGCCAAGACACTTATTAATTACGTGAGTCTGTTAGTCATCTGGTGAGCTCTAGATGGATTAATTTGGAAATCTTGTATGGGCGGGCAGTTTACCGGAGCAGATGTGGTGGAGTCCAGAAGCTGCAGTAGGCTGGGTGGGTAAATATATGACATTGAGTCGTCGACGAAGGCAGCCAGATAACCAAGCTTGTGTCAGTTAAATGGATTTCGTATCAGGAATGCTTCTACGATTATGCATGAAGGTGCCAAAAACAAGAAAACCAGTTTATATCTATAAGTCTTAAATTGTACTAGAGATTGAAGGGTACTTGAAACCAATGTGGATAGATAAGGCACCAAGAAAACCGGATGAGTGCCTGATCGACAGTTCAACCGAAGTCTGACTCTATTCTCCTTCAGTTAGTCGACTTGCCAAACTGCGTTAAAGTTTATGTTGCTATATGACCTCTAAGGCTGGGCAAAACCATTTAGCCTGGAGTTTATCTGGCAATCTTTACGGTTTCTTGAAAACAGCTTATATTGTTTAGCTCACCGACGTCCAAAGAGCAAATATTTCTTCGATGGTGCGTAGGAGTAA